TGAAGCGACGATGCGCGGTGCCGTCGAGTGGTTCGAAGCACTGCGAACTTTCCTCAGCCGAGGCGCGAGAGGATTTCAAAACGCCACCGCGCGGCATTGCCGTCGTCTTCTTCGATTTCGTGCAGCCCCCAGTACGATGCAGAGCCAGAAGCTCACAAAGCCGATCTCTTCTGCTGTTGCAGTGCCTTTGCAGTGCTTCGCTGCTTCGAGGATGGGACCTTGACCGCTACGCCGGGTGACCGAGCCGCACGCAGGACCAAACAGGTCGAACTCTGTGCCAGGGCCCGAGCTGCGGATATCACCTGCTTCTACCATGTTCTACCAGTCTACCTGCCCTCTGACGTCCATCATGACACTTGTAGCATGCTTGACTCCTCTACCCGGACCCTACCCGCGCTGTCTAAGAAGAACTAGGAGCCACTGCCTGGCCAACAGATGTCGAAATTCAGTGCACGATGCTTATGCCACATGAAGTGTGGTGCAGTTCAGCAAGGTTCTCGATCCAATTTCTCAGAGACGTGACGGGATACGGCATGAGTACACATTGCTTCTTTTGCTAGGAGAGGGCTGCTATGTTGGAGCCCAGGCTCAGGGGTCTGTGTGTCTGGCATGCTTGTATGCTTCTGTCATATGGATCCGCAAGCTGAGTAGGGCTGATGCCAGGCGTGCAGATGGCGCATCCTTGGGCATCATTTCCAAGAGCACAGAGGAGCAAGCGAGCAGCACTAACTGTCTCCACGTTCACCGCGATCACCTCGCCAGGGCACCATCCGCAGCGCTTTGGAGGCTAGCGGCCTCCTGAAATTCTTCGATGCCCCCCTAGTGGCCAAGGCGCACCGGGGTGAGCATCCGCATGCTCGCCGTGCTCGCCGCATCGCATCACCTCGTGTGTTCTGTGAGGCCGTGGGCTTCGAGGGCAAGGCTCGGGCAGGGCCGGCAGGGCAGCAGATTTGAGCCCCGCGACTGAGACTTGCTGCATGGCTCGGCTCCAGGCCGGTTTCATTGAGGATCTCGCCCTGTCTCGCTGGCTCGTTATGCTCGTTATGCTCGTTTCTTGTTTCGGAATCCTCAAGGGGCCCTTGGCTTTCTTCCTGAAAGGAAGGGCTGCCTACCAAGACTGGGATCCACCAGAGGTCATGGAGCCGCTTGCATGCAGCCGGAGCACCCGCCACAGCGACCGCCACAGCGATGGCCATGGCTCGGAAGGTACCTTTCAGTCGAATACTCCTGGTTGACGATGACGTGCTGGAGCTCGAACGCGTCGTCCTGCCGCGCTTTGCATCGCTTTGCCATGGCCCTTGGCCACACCACACTCGGTGCGTGTACAGTAGAAGGGGGAAGCGCTCTTTCGGTAATGACGTAATCGTCTTGACCCTAACCGACGCGGTCAAAGGGTTTTAGGCGAGGGTATGTTCAATTCAATCGGTGAAATGGTTCTATTTCGAGCTGATTGCTGGACGAAGCGTCGATCAGCATGCAACCCAGCAGCTATTCGTATTGTATGGTGCGGAAGCCTTCTTGAGTGATCCAATACAGCCAAATTCATTGCTACAGTGTACAGGTCCTTGGACCCTCAAACTCTTTTCTCACTACGAAGCTCTGAGGTATGTGGATCGCTTTGTTGAGCTTCTCAAGGGATCGCATGAACAGACGATGATGCGGAGGGATGGCTTTTACCGTCGCACGTGGCTTTCTAAGACGTGTGCAGGCTTGTGCCCGGAGTAACACTGTTTTCGAAGCGGAACGATGGGTCAGCTTCTACAAGCATGAATGGGATTTGTGGGCTGTTCCTCTGCCAGGCCAAAGCGCGTGGGCTGCAGGTCTATGCCGCACCCGCCGACGGTGGACTGCAGGAGGAGGAACACTTAGCCTGGCGGCTAAGCGTACCGAGCAGGGCTTGGGCTTCGATTTTCGTTTTGAGCAGACGAGGGTGCAAAGCATCCGGAGAAGACTCCCTGAAGTGCAACAGTGGCGGTGCGCCACAACATCCGAATGTGGATCTTCAGAGATCACTTAGTGCTACACGTGAAGATTTCGATAGTCGCATGTGTGTTGTTCTCAACGATTTGCGTGCCATGTGCCCTTCAGTAATGCAGGATTTTGACATCATTAGCGAGGCCCTTCATGTTCCTCGGCCGAGGCGTGTACTTTCCTGGGCTTACTCTGCGCGCCCACGCTCGTCCTGTGATTCGTTGCAGGTCTCATCCCCAGCGAGCGACGATGACGCCGCAGCGCTTGGTGATGGCGCCGCCGGGGGCCCAGGGGGCCCAGGGAGCCTATGGCCTCCAACGAGCCTCCAGAAAGTAGCAGTTTCTTGGCTCGCTACATGAGATTTTTTGAGTTTTCAGCGCCCAGCTGCCCAGCTCCAGTCTGGAAGAGACGTCAGTCGTGCTCTTCGGCTTCTGGCAGGCGGAAAGTGAAGCCACAACCAGGAACGGCGACGACTGCAGAAGTCTTCTTAGTGGGCTAAGGCGACCAGCTCGTCGCATGTGAAGGGTGCAGCCCCTCACAGGACGGTTTCAGCAAAGCCATGCGAAGCCTCTTCCTGCCTGCCTTCCCGGCCTTCATCACCTAGACTTTAGCGGCGGGAAAGCTTGAAAGCGGTGTGCCGGCGATGTCGTGACCGGTTGCATCGGCTGACGAGTTCAAACGCTGAGCAGAAGACCGGCCCACGGAAGTATTTTCCACGTTAACATCCTATATGGCGATATGGCCGATGCATTTCTCGAAGCCTGCGGAGCATGCCACCCACGATTGGGTGACCTGCGCTGAGTTCCAGGTCGCACTGCCCCGCCTGCAAAGATGCTTATCAACGTGGAAGTGTCTAAAGTGGCAGGCCGGTCGCTGCAAGGATCTGACGCTCTCTAGCTGTTGTCGAAGTTATCGATTCAACCAAGTGTTGAGTCTAAAGCATTTCATGCTGGAGTGCAGCTGCTTCAGGGTTTTTGGTCACCGGCGTTGCCGTCTGTCATGGCTTTCTGGGTGGGCTTGCCTTCTTGGCTCAGTGCGTCAGTCAGGAGGTGATCACCACGGAATGGCCGTCATGTCAAGTTGAACGCCCCAGACGCGATGCTGTTCCGGGCGGTCGATGGATCCAGAACGTTGAGACAAAGCCTCAGGATCAGATGTGTGCGCACTGGCGGTGCTCGGCACTCGTCAGAACAACACCGGCGAGAGGGTACCGCTGGCATGGATGCAGAAGCCGGATGTGATTTGCCTGCTCAGCTTTCCAGCACGCAGGGGCCAACCCTTGGTTTGCCACATGTAGGACTGTAGGACCTGGCCAAACCATGCCGAATCTACCTGTGGCAGTGTTCGCCGCAACGCCGCAACGTCTCGTCGTGACTGCGTCGTGACTGGGGTCCGCACTCAGCGACAAACGCTCTTTGCAGACTGTTAACGTGCCAGCTCGGAGAACCAGTAGCAAAACTACTGTCGATTGCAATCAACTTGTGACCCTCTGCTGGCAAACGGGCCTCCTTGAATGTTGTGCGTTTCTGCTTGACGTCACTAGCAATGCCGTCCGCACGAGCTCCACGTAGCTAATGTAGTTCGACGAGAGCCTCTCAAGTCCAAAGCAAGCCCAATGACGTGCAGCACCCCCGCAGCGATCAGTTGACTACGCAAAGCCGGGTTGTTACGTGTGTCTCGTGTTGTTGCAGGACGTGGGTTCGACCCACTGGCAGGCAAAGCCAAGCGATACGATAGAGCGCGGCGCAGGAGGGAAAACCTGTGCAGCACCGCTTCGGCATGAGACACGGACAGGAACGGAACTGAAGCATGCACTGTCGAGCATTATTGTTGTGCAGCAAGAGGTAAATGAGTAAATGACTTGTGGTTGCATCGGTCCACACGTACTTGCCGAGGCCTCTCGTTATGCGTACCCCTTCTTCCGCTCCTTCATTTGGATGCAGACGCTCTTCGGTACTCACGGCATGTTTAGCATTCGCAAGCCGCGGAATTCGGAGCAGACCGCAACCACAGGTACGAAGGCATGGCCGAAAGTCATTCAAGGAGGCCTAACACATCTTTACGCTCTGCGCTCGCGTCAGTCTGCCTGCTCTACTCGCAGCCTGCGAGGACCAGCCTCTACGTCTCCCCTCATTCAATGACTTTGGGCGCGGAGGCCCGAAAGACATCCAGAAGAGATCACCTGCAACTTCCCGCTTTCTATCGATTCTAGAGCCGCCTTCGCGCAGGGCGCTGGCGGAATGTGATCCTCTTCTCCGGAGACTGCTTCGAGGGCTGAGCCAGAGCCAATTCAAAGGGTAAATCATTCGCCCGCTCAAAAAGATCCATGCAAGAATCCTCTTTCAGGCATGGCTATGTTCTGGCCAAAAATGTTTTCTTCGTACGCTCTAGCTGCGGCTAACCGCCAAGCGGTAACCGCTGCCATGCATCAGACACAGCAACCTGTGATTTCTTGATGTGCTGAAGCGGAGGCCCATGTGCAAACCGAAATACACGCAGCGGGAATTCAATTTGTAGCATCTCGGCCAACAGTGAGGTTCAGCAGCATGTAGGATGTAGACTCTTCCGGTTCCGCTGTAGGGTATCGGTACACTGCTGACGGGGGCATGCAGGCTCGGACAGCCAAGAAAAAAATGCCACATATTGCCACATGTGTGTTGCACCAAAGCCTGTTTGATGGGGAGCCTCTACAAGGAAAAGGACCGACACTGCTACGACATCCGGAACTCTTCGACATGGTGCAACTCCAACTTCCACCCCCACCACACGACCTTGATCGTTGTGATTTCATGTTTATTCGGAGTTTTGAAGTGTGAGCAGGTATCAGCTTCTTTTTCCAGAGGAGATGCGGCAATGCAGCAGACGTAAATTATTGCCTGTGCTACATGCAAGTCTTCGTCTCCTCTGATTTCCGGGATAACCGCAAAGCGGTGTCTACGCTGAGGTTCGAGGTTAAAATTATTGGGATCTGCATTCGTCCTTTGCTCTGCTTGTTCTTGGAAGAAGTGCTAGACATTCACCAGATGCAGGCTACGCCCAACACCGTGATGTTGTTAGGAGCAGGAAGTCTTCCTGCAGGCGGGGCTAGACGGCCTCGACTGGGGCGACTTCGTGAATCTTGGAAGTGTAAGAGTGCCAGGCATTGAAAAAGATATCGAGGACTGGCCCTTACCTGGATTTTAGATGCGACAGGGTGTGCCGCGGGTGAAACGGATCTTCCCTTATAGTGCTGCTGTAGGAGCAGGCTCGACAACTCTGCATCCAGCATTCTTTCAGCACGCCAGAAGAGGCCTTGAGCTCAGATCTTGAGGCATGGGCATCGCCGGACTTGGACAGCTCTCCGGTTCTAAAGTCAAATGCTTCATGCTTCAGGTGAGATTCGTGTCTCAGTCCCTTGTTTTCATAGATTTCCCGTACCAGGAGGCTTGCCCGGGTCTCAGCTATCCGGCATGGGAGTCCGTTATACTTCCGTGCCGATCCCAGGTCGAGAATTCCTGCGAGTCTCCAACGGCCAGCTCAAGGCCAGTTGAAATTGCGAGCAAATGGGCGCGCGTTGCAGTTGTGACATTGCGATTTCTGACAGGTACGGCAGTGGGTCTACAGGTTGCAGCATTCTGGTGCTGCTCCAATCTCAGAGTCTGAGGGGTCTTAGAGTCAGGAAAGGCCTTGCCCATTTTGGGTAATTGCACCACCGTGGCCCAGATCATAGCCATTATATCCTAAAACACTTTACCATATAGAAAATAAGGTGCGTTGTCCAAAATGGACAAGGTCATGGGGTCGCCCAGTTTGGGTTATTACATCACCGTCAACCAACTAGTGCTCAATAATCCCTAAATCACATTACCATATAGAACATCATCCTATTTATCAGGTGATGTAACTTCCCGAAATGGGCAAGGTTAGGTTTATTCAATTTATGGGGAATAGTATGGGGTAGTTGGGTGGGGCAGTCAATGCGCCGCAGCGGCGAGACATCATCAAGGAAGGCGGCTTCGGAGTCTACAACTTTCAGAAGGTGCGCCTTGCCTGTTTTGGAGTCGGGCCTTGCACTTATCATGCATTCTGCGAATGTTTCTTGTATTTCTGCACATCTTGAGTCTTGCCCAGCAATCTGGAGACCTGAAGCTTCTTGTGTCAAGTTTCGTAGCCGTCCGTGATAGCCATGAGCCAACCAATTCTATGTCAGCAGGATTCACACGTTTGGGGGGAAGTGTTGGCAACTACGCACCTTGCAAAGCAGCAGCGGAGCGCACCACATTGTTCCCATCATCATCAACACGGGCGGCATCGCCTACAACAGGCCAATCTTCAACGACAAGGTGCGCAAATTCTTCCTGCCCGAGTAGATCAATCGCAAGGACATGGCTCGTGATTGGAGGGGGCGCAGGACAACGGATGCTGTCCAGTTCCCGACACCTCTGGGCGATGGCTTCTCCATCGCATCTGCAGAGTGGGACTCTGCGCGTGAGAAGGACTGTTCCAGAAAGCACTCGTTCCCCGTAACCCATCCCATTTGCTGTTCGTGCAAGTTTGTGAAGCAGTGCCTAGTGCCCTGTGTTGGCACGAGATTTACACGCGCGAGGAGGGCGTCATCTACAACCTGGTCGGGCACGAGCTGGCGAAGGTCATCGTCGGATGCGACGAGTTGGCTGGAAACCTCAAAGTTCTGGCAGACAAGGGGAAGTCTGAGGCGTTCATCCAAGAAGTCCGAACGGACATGATCGAGGCAACGGCAAAGCGCTTCGAAGCACAGGGCGCGACAGTGAGCGCCATTGAGCGCGAGGTGAGCTCCATGCTGATGGACGACATGATGCCGTGGGATGGAAGCGCCCTCCCAGTCCCAGACCATTTTTGGGTGAAGCTTTCCATTCCAGTTCTGTGAAGAAAGATTCCAATCCCCTAACCTTGGGACTCCAATCCCCGAATCCCCTAGATTTGGAACTCCAATCCGCGAATCCCCAAACCTTAAGACTCCAATCCCCGAACTTTGGGACTTCTCTCTTCTTTAAAGCGCCAGAGAGCACCAGTTGCCAGAATGCACAGAGGCACGGTGCATCGCAGACAGAACCGCCGACAGAGCACGAACAGGCTCTTGTTGCATCACCACTCTGAAGCCCAGCCTTTCAGCATTCAGCCTGAATGAACCCTTAAGCCCTTAACTTGGCAGGTGATGGAGGAAGGCGAGTTCCGGCGCGTCCTTGTGCAAAGCCAAGGTCAGGGCTTAGGGGTCGAGGTTTAGTTTTTTCGGCTTTCCCACTTCGGGAAAACACAGGCAATCCGACTGTTTACCAAGGGCTTGGCGATGTGCCTCAGAAGGTGTTGGCGTCTTGCCGTTAAGTTTGGGTTGTTAGGGCTTTGTCCCCTAAATCCCCATAACACTCTAAGGCGTTTGGGTTCGCGTAGCAACGCGAAGCTTCGCGTTCAAAAGTTTTATAAAACAAGAAAACAATCAAAAAAACAAAAGTACGAAAAGTAAGGTACTGAAGATTTAGGGGTATCAAAAGATACAAAACACAAATAACATGAATATTTTCATAGTATTTGCATAGTATTTTTACCCCAGTGAGCCAAAAAAGCTGTTTACAATCAAAAATCAACATAAAAATCTAAGGTACTGAAAATTTAGGGCTTGGGGAATACAAATAGCAAATTATATTAATGTTTTAATATTATTAGCCTAATCAAAATCGTCAAGGTTTAGATATTTGTCGTCAACGTGATTTTGCTCTTCATTGTTAGCGATATAACCACAGATGCTTTTTAATATATCGCTTACTGGATTCATGTGTGAAGCAATATATTTTGTTGTTGATTATCTTCTTCATCTCAATGACATCCAAGAATTGATTAATGATTTCTTCCTGTTCTTGTTCACTGAACATTTTTATCTTGATATATTAAGTTGTTATTTTTTAAAGTGCGTTTCTTAAGAAACCTCTAATCACTCATGTCGCAAACATGACCTATTCTCATCGTCCAAACGATAATATTTTTGTCCTAATTTCTTAGCAATATTAGTGACTTTATGGATTGTTTTATTCCAGTGTCATGTATGTTCTTTCTCGCTTATACCTTTCTTTCTCATTATCTTGACGTTGTCGCCTTCATCTATCTCAGGGTATGTTCTGCTACGCTTAGCACTTATGCTTAAAATCAGTTTTACTTTCAATTCATTTTTTGGTAAACGTGCATCCCTTGGAGTCAGATTATGGGATGACTGTATAACTTTATTATTGAATGTCAACAGTATTTCAAAGCTATAGTCAGTCCATTGAATATTTTCTTTACCTTTTTTCTTATCCGCTTCAACGCGCTTAAATAACTTATCTTTGTCGGTTTTAATGAAGCGTTCTGCAAACGCCGGATGTCCACGAGTTCTATGAATCTCAATTTATTCGTCCTCCAGATACTCCATTATGGGTTTACTGTATAAACTGCCTTCCTCATCTGAATATAACATGCGCGGTTTCTTATCCATTTTGTTCAGTCCTTCCATGAGACCTGCTAGAACATCTGGTGGCTGTTTGCTTTTTATTGGTATAACAGTTGCATATTTAGTGAATATGTCAATAAGCACTAAACCTATTCTAAACGTTTTGTTTTATAAATCGTTGCTAGATATGAAAAACAAATCCACCTGAAACTCAAAGAAACTATGTGGAGTTACAAAACTATTTTCGCCGCGAGGTTTTTTTTTCTTTTCACTGTTGCGTTTAAAGAACTTTTCAACATCCAGTTTCGTTATAGTGGCATCTTTCTTTTTAGCATCTTGTCGAGTTGTTGCTTTACTCCCAAACCCCGAGCGGTCATAATAAACCCTACTTATAATATCTTGTTTAGATGTCATTATACTAAGCAAGAGATTATTTTTTATTCTGATTTTTCGGTTTGTTGTTCATTGAACCAGTTTAGATGTGCCTTTGTGTTGCGATGTTTATAAATGCCGTCTTTTCTACAAATAACACCGCATTCACATTCAACTTTCTCCGATGCCTTTTGTCTTATCTGTTCTTTGTGAGTTTCATTATACAACTTGTGTCTTTGTTGTTCCTTTTCCTTGTTGTTCTCCCTGTATTTCTTGCCATCGCTTTTAGTTTTGCAGGATTGTCTTGTTGCCATTGCTTCGTTCTTTCCTGTTGCTTCTGGGGGTTGTTTTGATAGCACTTCTTTTTAGCTTCTTTTACCTGTTCTGGATATTTTCCCTATACATTTTTGAGTATTCCGCTCGTGTTCTACCCACCACAAGTTTACTTACACAATCCATCTTTTGGATACGTTGCCCTTCTCGTGCTTCAAGTTCTTTTCTGCTATTATAGGGATAATCCCCTATCCACTCAATCTTACAGAATTCCACCCCAAACTCATCAAACAAATCAAACGAGCGCATCCGCCCTGATGTCCCGTTTAGGTTGGATTTATAACACACTCTATGCCTCGCCATTCTCTGGCTCAGCTCTCAAGTAGAACCTATATAACATTTTTTATATCCCACATCAACTATTTTGTAAATCTTACCATTCTGATACCTGTTCATATCCTTATATATCCTAAACTATCATGTCTTTAAGATTTTTAAGAAAAATAACAATATCTTTTACAAAAGTATTATTTCTCTTCTTCTGGTTCTTCTCCAGGTATCACTGTTATCACCTTGCAGTCTTTCATCGTCTATTTAGTTTCTTTCTTTTTACTTGCTAGTGCTTCTGCCTTCTGTTCTGGTGTCAACTTCACGACTGTTATATCTATACCATTTTCGGCTATGTATTTCTCCAGCTTTTTCTCCAGATACCTATCTCTTGAAGCCCTTTTCTTATCTAAATACTCTTTGTCTTCACGCCTTTTATTATAATACAGCCTATTGTACAATGCCAGTTGTTCACGGATTTCGTCTATTGTCATATCTTCAGGTTTTGTCATTTCACTATTAATATATATACATAATATTTCTTTAAGTGCTTTTTCTTAACACTATAATATTGCTTGATTTTCAATCAGTTTAAAAAACTCCTCAGAAAAATATATTTAAAGAAACATTTTTATTATAAAATTCATATATATATATATTGTAATTTATGACCAAAGCTATACAGAGAAATATCACTGCTTTAGAAGCAGTGTACGACAATTACAAAAAACGCCTTAACAAAGCAACCAAGGAAATTTCAGAAACATCATAGACTTATATTCTGAACGCAAGATAGCCCAGTTTACAACAGCCGACAATTTAATAAAAAGATTTATCAAAGCATGACTATTCGATGACAGTGGGGTTTTTTAGATACAAACCGGACACCAACACACAGAAAACATCATTTTATGACAAAGCAGGTAAACCCTTAGTACCATTGTTTATAGGAGAAAGTATAAGGCACACAGCAAGCGTTAACACCACATCGTATGTTGAAAACCTTGTTGGTAGAAAAGTGTTTGGAACTTACGACAAGAGGCTTTTCATAAAATTACTATTGGACTTACAAAGAGACCCGTATATATTGGGAGTCATCGGCTTCGTGATAGACTATATAGATTGTATTAAAGTATATGAAGTTGATAGGGTAGATGGTGATTCAGATTTTAACCCAAATCGTGAAAACCTAAGGGACGCCACTAATGTGAGCATGTATCACAAATATATTCAGACCCCTTTGAACCCAGAGTACGAGACACTAAAGGAAGCCATTAAAGTGGAACATTATCAAGACAACCTGTGTTGGATTAACACTTTAACGGATTATTATAAAAATACCCTTATGGGTGACAAGAAGAGAGAGAAGAACAAATTAACCAGAGAAAGTATTTTAAGACTCATAAATAAAACAGAAGATGATTTCACAACCAACGGTGCTAGTCTTGACGATATGACTAAGGTGTTTGAACACTATAGGATTCAAGTGAAGGTATATGATGTTTTTGAGAACTTAGTCTATCAGTACGACCCAGAGAAGCGAGACCATCACATACAAACACTGTATGCAATAATTAAGAACAACCACATTTACACGATTCGTTGAAGCAAATGGCACCAACGAATTCCAACTATGATATCTTCGTAAAGGCTTCGTCAGACTACCATTTAAATGAGAAGCCCACACCGGTTGAGTGTAAAATGATAGCATCATTGGATGACATCAGAAAACACACAGAGGAAGACCAATATACCCTAATATATGACGGAAATGATTTAACAAAGCTGTTTTATGAATCCAAACAGGCAGGTTATGAACCACAGGTGAAGTTCAGTGGGTGCATCGTGTCTGAGTTGAATTTTCGTTTTTATATCAATAAAAGACTCATCAAGTACAAGGTCAAAACGCAGAACCTTGCAACAAATTCCATTGATGGTTCTATCTGTGTCAGGACAGAGAATGTTTATAATAAAATGTTTAAATCAATGTACGATTTTAATAAAGCATTGTTTAACCCCTTACATAAACCTTACTATAGCGAGATAGACATGCAAATCTTCCAGGAGTGTAGAACCGTAAACCCAGTAGGCGAGATAAATAAATATTACCATTTGTATTCTGTACAGCGCGAAGAATTTGATAGATATTTTTTACAACAGAGTCCTGTGTAGAGATAGATGTCCGAAAGGCGTTCACGCATGCATTTAATCAGATGACCGAGATACCAGTGTTTACGGAAGTTGATGTGTGGAAGCCGCACAAGAAGGACTATAAAATAGAATCGTTTCACCCACTGACCTTAAATTTAGTTAAGAGTCATGGTGAGGCAATGTTTTTCAACAGAACCTATTGTTTAGTATACTGACAGTTTTTAAAGCATTTACATAAAAAATGCAAAATATTATATTATAAAGAGCCTTATAGAGTTTATAATGTTGATTACCAGAAGATTGTCAATAAACTGTGGGCTACCGAG